GTGCAAAGCTGAAAACGAGTGAGGCCCTCAACTCCACCCTGCTACCCCAACAGCTGAGGAGGGCAGTGGGGGTGCCTGCTGGTTTACAGCCCAGGTAGAATGAAACTGCCCCTTGCTCTTTCACTGCCCTTCATGAACAAGGGCAGGGCAGTTAACATTGTTCAGAACCAGCTTCCACTGAGCATGGTATCTCTAATTAGAGCCATGGATCTGTCTGTCTGTCTCTCTCTCTCTCATAGACACACACACACACACACAGTCTGAGTGTGGAGCCCCCAGGCTTGTTTTACAAGGGCATTAGATAGGGAGATAGGCAAAGTGGGCTGGACTGAAGAGTTTATTTTCTAAAGCCAGACATTTGTTTGGGCTGCCACCTGGAAACTTGAGTGACCTCAAGAGAGGGCTGGCCAGGACAGGACAGGTCAGGGGATCCAGCTAAACAGGAGGTTCTTGGGAAAGACACAGATAACTCAGCACCAAATCCCAGGAAATCAAACAGGCCCAGGAAGGGGCAGACTGAGACTCATGTCAACACTTGGAAAAAACGTGGCAGCAGACAGGAAAAGGGGCCAGATGGCACACTCCTTGGGCAGGGCTGGTCCCAAGCTTCCTGTGAAAGCAGATACATTGGAGGACTCGCCACTGTGCCAAGTGGAGAAAGGCAAGGCTGCTCGTGGGAGGCAGCATTTGGAGGCCAAGGGGCTGTGTCTCTACCATGTCTGAGCCCCTAGGGAAGTCGCTGAGTCACTCTGACCCTCAGTTTCCTCCTCTTAAATCCAGGGGCGTAATTATAAGAATGGTGCCCTCCAGAGACTGCTGTGGGGTTTCAGTGAAACAGCAGGTATGGATGGACATGGCTTATGATGCTCACAGAGAAGGCACTGGAACGCTTCTTTATTCAGCTGTCAACGGAGCAGGTGCCCCGATAGTCTTCTCAGCATTGTGTATTTACCCAGTGAAAGCTCTGTATGCGAAACCCACGGCCTCGAACCTCAGCTTGATCCTCATTCAGGATGTCCAGTCAAAGCACTGAGCACCCAACCAATGAATAAATAAAAGAATGAATGTCTGACATGGGATTTCTGATGCCAGCTTTTAATCCTGGATGTGCCACTCACTGAAGGACTTAGCAAAGTCACTCCATTTTTCTGAGCTTTGGTTTTCCTATCTGTAAAAGGAAGGTTTTATCTAAAAATTTAAAAAATAATTAAAAAAAACTGTACATAATTTCTAAGGCATCTTCCAGCTCCAACTTCTTGTACCTCGTTCGGATTTTCACATATTCTGATTTAAGAGAGTTAAGAACACAGTGCTCTGATTGTGAAGCATCTCATGAACAGAAGAACTTCTCCAAGAGTTCCAGGAAAGATTCAAATGAAGAAAAAGAACAAGAGCTGAAACAAAGCCCTACAGACACAATTGGAAGAGGTCTTGATTGGCACAGAGATCACCAGACACCAGCAGGTACACTGATAGAGAGTGCTGTATACACCACCACAGAATCCACCAAAATTCACAGCCCAAACATTGACTGTAATCATAGGCACCTGCACTGACTGAGCACCTACCATGGGATGTTGAGCAATTTATACTCATCCTCTCATTTAACCCACATGATCATACCACGAGGCGGGAACTACTATAGTCCCATTCTTCAGATAACAAAACTAAGGCAATTAGAAGGTAAGTAACTTGCCTCTCACGGGACTGTGCGAGGAAGGTAAAATTCAAACCCAGGCAGCCGGACTTCAGAGCGCAGGCCCCGCGCCAGCGAACAGAGCCCGGGGGTTAAGGGTATGCCCAGGGTCCCACTGGAGGGCTGAGGCTGAGCTCTAAACGCACCACAGCTGGGTGCCATGCACGCTTGTCCCTCCCGCATGCATACCTCACTCACACTGATTCAGAGCAGGAGGGGAAAAATGCCTAACACTGAGCACGTGTGAGGATGTTGTCACGGGGAGGAGGAGGCTACAACTTCCACTGAGACAACCACTTCACACCTGGACACTCCACACCACGCCGTCTTAACAAGACCTCCTTCTTCATATCGTTACTCTGCAAACCACACACAGACCTGTCCCCCAGATCAGGGATACGTGGAATATATATCCTGAGTTTGCAGAGGCTAGCTTAGAGCCTGGATCTGCAATGGTGGTGTTGGAATCTCAGGTCACAAAGGCTGGCTTGGTACCAAAGTTTACTAGGATAAGCCTAGACCCTGGGTCTACTTGAGCAAGTTGTAACCTGGGTCCTCTGCAGCCTGGGGCTGTGGAGGCTTCTCTGGTACCTGGGGTCAGCCCGGTGCTGGGGATAACATGGAACCCTGGTCTCTGGATCTATTGCCCCCAAATCAGGAAATAACCAAGCAAACCCGTTGCTGCTAAGCAACCACTGCAAGCCATTAGACACAACATCGCGATGGCAGCCCACACATTTCAGCTTGCACCCAGTGCTACGCACAGCCGTGCCAAGAACTCAGTGTGAATTATCTTAACTTCCACACCTCTGACAACCTTCCGAGGTGAACACTATTATCATCCCATTTTACAGAGGTGCGGAGACTGAGGTGCAGAGAGAACGACCACCTGGGGTCCACAGCTAGCAAATTGCAGAGCCAGGGTTCGAACCCGGAGGCGGAGGCTTCAGTGGAGATGTAAATGGAATGGGGCCTCCCTAAGTGGGTCGCCCAGCACTGGAAGTGAGGTCTCCTCTTCCCCCATTAGTATCCTCCCATGGACCCTTTTCCCCAGCTTCCTCACCAGGTAGGCAGTAACCTGGTGTCCCAGTTACCTCCTTACCTGGTGGGTCTCTATTTTCCATGGCTCCTGCCACCATGGAAGCTGGAGGTTCTGCAAGGCTGTACATCAGTACGGTTTCTACAGGTGCAGAGGGCTAGCTGTAAAGACAGCAGACAGAATCCACATTCTGCACTTCCAGCTATTGTAGCTGCACAGCCTTGGGGTGTGCACACACACACAATGCTTCCTGATTCTTACCATTCCCAGGGGCCCCTCTCATATTTGTTAGCTGAAATTTAAAGCTTAGGAAGGAATTTTAATAAATTGCTTTTGAAACCAAAGTAAACATCGGGATAATTTTTTGCACAAAAATAACCACACTCAAGGGGATCAAAAACTCGCATGAAAAATTAATTAATTTCGCTTTGCAAGGCCATCTGGGCCCTCCGTGCCAGTCTTTCGGGATAACTGGTGCAGCACCCGGTGCCCAGCGGGAGCTGGAAATCACCAGTCAGACCTCTCACGGACGGCATGGCCAAAGTTAACTTAGCAAATTGAGGGCACTGCGAAGCTCATTAAATAGGCAACGACAGTTGAAGCAACGAGAATTGCTGCTCCTGACCACGCTCACCCTCCTGCAGCCTGCAGGGAGGTAGCCTCGGGGCTCACTGACCCTATGCCAGGAAGCTCTACCCTCAGGACAGGGTGCCAGAGGGCAAGTCACTGGCTTCCCTGGGCCTCTGAGTTTCCTAATCAGATTTGCTGTTTTTAAAAATTACTCTAAATGTCAAGTGGAGGACAGATTGGAAAGTGGCAGGGCCAGGCCGGTGGGACCAGTTAGGAGGCGGCGGCTCAAGTCAGGCTGAATCCAGACAGGGGCCTGGCCGAGGTTAGCATGGTGGATGCGAGATATGGGGCTCAAGGACAGAAGGCCTGGCAAGTTATTGTTGACTTGGATTTTTCTTTCCTCTCTTTTCACACAGTGTATTATGTGGTTACAATGGTGTGTTTGAAGAGGAGCAGGAATTAAATACAGTTAGGGTTTTGGGATTTTTTTAAGGCATGGAGGATGCCACCAGGCTGAAGAGTCAGGAGGTCTGGCCTTCCCACTGCCGCTAAATGCTGAGCTGTAGCACAAATTCTTGAAACAGGGGTGGGTGTGGTGGCACACACCTATAATCCCAGCACTCTGGGAGGCTGAGGCAGGTAGATCACCCGAGGTCAGGAGTTCAAGACCAGCCTGGCCAACATGGTGAAACCCCGTCTCTACTAACAATACAAAAATTAGCTGGGTTGGTGGCACATGCCTATAATCCTAGCTACTCGGGAGGCTGAGGCACAAGAACCCGGGAGGCAGAGGTTGCAGTGAGCCAAGATTGCACCGCTGCACTCCAGCCTGGGTGACAGAGTGAGACTCTGTCTCAAAAACAAACAAAACAAAACAAAAAATAAGAGTTTGCATGAGAGTGTAGATGAGACAGGACTGGCCAGGTATCAGGCTGGAGGACAGGCACACAGACTGTGCCGTGTGATTCTGTCCACCCTGCACTGTGTGAGGTATTCCATTTTGGAAGAAAGGGGGTGAAGAGCATGGCTGTGGAGCACTTCTTGGTTTTCAGGTCACAGAGTCGCACCCATTTCCTACTTACTGACTCACAAGAAACCACAGTGTTGGCTGGCTTTGAAAAATATTTGATTTTTTTTCAGTCCTGGTTCACTCATTCCCTTCTATAAACCACCTACCATACCGATACATTCAGTTCCACTCAACAAATGTTTATTGAGCATCTACTATGTGCTGGGACCATGCTAAGAATCCAAGGTGCGTCAGTGAAGAAAACACAGAAAGACCCGCGGCCCACACAAAGGTTACATTCAAGTAGGTTGGAACATAAACCATAAAATATAGATATGTTATAATAAACAGATATTATACGCTTTGTTAGAAATTGGTAAGTGCAAGGAAAACAATATAAGGTATGGGGCATGGGAGTGAGGTGAGTTGCATTTTCCTACAGGGAGGTCAGCGTAGGCCTCACTGAGAAGGTGACATTGACCAGATGTCAACCAGGCAAAGGAGCAAGGCATGAGAGCACCTGCGGAAAGGGCACTTCCGGCAGAAAGGACAGCCAGCGCCAAGGCCGACGGGCATGGGCAGATAAGGGTAAGGGGGCCGCTGTGGCTGGAACAGACTGCTGTTCAGAAACAACAGGCCACAGTGAGCGAGCAAAGGGACGCAATTAGGGAATCACAGGCAGACAATGGTATGAAGCATGTGGCTTTTATCCTTAATATCCCTGGCAATGGGAAACCACAGTTTTGAGCAGAGAAGTGAGATTTTGAAAGGATCACTCTGGAGGCTGCTGGGAAGAGACTAAAGGATGCAGCGATGGAAGCCTGGGGAGGGTCTGGAGGTGGCTGCACGAATGCAGGTGAGAGGCGACGCAGGCTTGGACAAGGGTGGTCACAGTGGAGGGGCGGGAGGCAGCTGGCTCCTGGAGATAATTTGAAGGTAGTTCCCACAGTCTTTCCTGATGCACCAGATGGGAGAGGAGTCAGAATGGCTCCAGGGCTTCCCACTTGAGCTGCAGGAAGACGGAGTGGCCGTTACCTGAGACGGGAATGGCTGCAGATGGGGTGGGTGTGGGGCAGTTAATCAGAAGGTCAGTGTTGGATTTGTTCACGATGGGAAATCAGGTAGGCAGTGGACTGAAGAGCAAGAAAGAGTTCTACACCGGAGATAAATGGAAACATCATCAACATATTTAAAGCCATGAGACAGGGTGGGCCCCTCGGAGGACTGGGTATAACCAGGGAAGAAAGGGGGCCCCAGGCAGAGCCCAGGAACCTCCAGCACGGCATGGTCAGAGCAAAGAGAAGGAGCAAGCAGAGGAGATGGAAAAGCCGAGCAGCAAGGAGGAGGGAGACCAAGAGCACCCGGCGTCCTGGAAGCTGGTGATGAGGACTCGCCATGTCAAGCAGGATGAGGACGAGAACTGCCCACAGGACCCAGCCACAGGAGGTCGTGGGTGCCCTGAGAAGGGCCATCTGGGTGGAGTGAGGGTGCAAAAGTCTGATGAGACGGCATTTGGGAAAGAAGAGAAGGATTAGGATGAGGCAACAGACAAGTAAAACTCTCGTGCGGGGTTCCACCAGAAACGCAACAGGATGGGGCAGTGGGAGGGGAAGAGGGTCAGGGAAGGGGTTGGGAAGATGGTGGTCGTTTCTGGTTGGGTGGGAAATGGCAGTGTGTCTGTGCGCTTATGGGATGATCCAGCAGGTGGCAGGACGAGAGTGAGCTGCATCAGGAGTTGTGGAAGAAGAGCTGGAGTCAGTCCAATAGCAGGGGTTCTGGCGCCACGGGGGCCAAGTGGCTCCTGCCACAGTCACAGGAGAAGGCAGAGTACAGGGGTCTGGGGGCTGGGAGATAGGTGTATGTGGTGGGGGAGTCTGAGGAGGCGCCCCAGAGAGGCAGTGGGAGCAGCCAATGAAATGAACTCCCGCAGTTCGTCAGCAGGTGGCTGGGGAGGCCACAGGGCAGCTTAGGGTCACCCCGTTTCTACCACTTTTCACCTATGTAACCTCGAATGAGTTTTTCGCCCTCTCTCTGCCTCAGTTTCCTAATCTGTAAACCTGAGCAACTGGGGGTCCCTGCCCCCGGAAAACTCATTGACAGCATATAGATGAGGCAATACCTATGCAGCCCCTAGCTCAGCATCTGCCCATCAGAATCCTTCCTCTCTGGGTGCCTGCGGTGAAGCCCCGGCCCGGCCAACCTGGGCCTCTCCAGTCCCATTCTGGAGCTAGCACTGGGTGTTCCTGGGGAAGCACCGCTTGGCCTCCTCATTCATGCTTTCACGTCGTTTCTCACTCTCACATCCAGACAGACAGCACCATGAAATCCATGCTGAGCTGGAACCCGCCTTCTGCAACACACTAGCTGGGAAGGTCCTGGCAAGTTGTTAGGTCTCTCTGGGCCTCGTTTGCATCTCACATAAAAGAGGAGGCAGGACTGAATGAGCTCTAAGGTTCCTTCAAGTTCTAGATTCATGTAATAATGTCTTCCTCAAGAAAAAGAATTAGTCATTGTGTAAAGAAATACACACCTGTAATCCCAACTACACACTGGCTGAGGCAGGAGGCTTGTTTGAGGCTCGTTGAGTTCAAGGCTGCAGCGAGATCAGGCCACTACCCTCCAGCCTGGGTGACAGGGTGAGACCCTGTCAGAAAAAAAGAAAAGAAAAGAAGAGGGGAGGGGACAGGAGGGGAGGGGAAACAATGGGGAAAACAATGGGTCTCAGAGAAAATCCTTTAAGAACACACAGAAGCAGTAGACAGAGCCCACACTTGTCCTCATTTGTCCCTGGAGCTGTGAGACGATGCTGTGAAGACCAGACCCAAAGCCAGTCACACAGAGGCAGCAGCTGGACGGGCCTTGCCGACTGAGATCAGTGGCCACACAGACACACACCTGACAAGACAGACCATGAAACACAGACCCAGGCCTACTGCCTGGTCTTCTTCGGCAGACGACTTCTCCCTCAAAGCACAGTCATCTTCAGAATGACAGGCAGCCCATCCTATGGAACCGAGGGGCGTGGCTCTTAAATTTGGGCTTCAAAAGACAAGCTCAGTCCCTGATTTTTTCCACCTGAGAAGGAGGCTTTTCTGAACATGACCCAGTGCGTTCAGAGCGGCCAGGATGAGGAAACACGTCTACAAAGCAGCAGCATAATCCAGACACAAGAAATGGTATGCAAAATAGGGTATCAGATGGACTTTTGCAACTGAACATGGTCAAAACCATTTTGCAGCAAGTAACTTTTCCTGAGTTCAAGTAGGAGTTGAGTCCAACATTTATATGTGACACAGCCATGTGAGGCCTCTTCTCTGAGTACAAAGTAAAGTGTGGTAAAGTAAAAAAAAAAAAAAAATCATTTCTATAATTAGGAGCAAGATTACTTTGCATGTCACATGACCGTGGCTGAATGGGCAAAACCTCTTACAAAGAAGTGCCCTGGTTTCACACAACCCTGCAAAACAGGCTCGCACAAACCTCTGGGTGGGAGGTAGCGGAATAAACTGAAGGCTAAACACCAAACCACGAAGTTCAGTTGTTACTCGGCCAAATGAGAAATTCAGTGAAGATGAGCTTGGCTCAGGCTTGGGAAGTGGACGCAGGACCACCCCTGCCTCACCAGGGTCCACTTTGGGGCTCTGTGTCCGAAAGGTCCTTGAGAGCATCTTGACTTGACTCCAGCTGAATTCCCAGAAAGCTCCCAGAATCCCGCATGAAACACATCCGAGTTCAACTGTCCTTTGGTTTGAACTAAGAGCCCTAAAGTGCTCCTGGGGCAGTGGCTGGTCCCCATTGATCGAAAACAAGGGACAGTTGGGTGAAGAAACGAGAGAGCAGCAGATGGCTCAGAAGTGACATGCTGCTCACCAGCGAGGTCAGCAGTGTGGGCAGCCTGTACAGCAGGTCAGACCGCAGTGGTTTCTGAGCCTAATTTATACATTTATAAGATCTCTGTCTAGAGCTGGGCGTTCCTCAGCATGTGAGCTGCATCCACTGCGAGGACATTTCCTGGGATGAAACTTGGGTTGTGTTGAGTACCGAGCCAGTACCATGGACTCGGTTCCAGCTACGTCCAGCCCCGTGAATGAAGGAGCTGCGGTGAATTTGGTCATCCCAGGATTAGCTCTAAAAAGCACAAGGATTGGGAGCTGAGGTGGAGGGGACTCTGGATAGGGACGGAAGGATGCCGGCTCGGAGACCTCATCATCACTGTCCCCTCCTAAGGGAGGCAGCACACGGGAGTGATTCAAGTCAGGGGCTGCCCACCAGATTCTGAAAGTGCTCGATTTTCATTCCTGCTCCTACGTCTACTGGCTGTGAGCCTTGGGACAAGTTCCTGTACCTCTCGCAGCTGCTGTTTCCTTACCTGTAAAATTGGGATGGTAACGCCCATCGTGTCATAGGATACTAACCCCTGAAATGTGAAAATCCAGGTGTATGTCAAACACTTAGTATAGAGACTGTGCGTGCCCAAGAGACAGGGTGCCTATTATTGCCTGGAGCACTAAGTGGGAACTGATCAGTGGCTTCACGGACACCGACATTCTGGCGTGGATTTCAGCACTAAAGAACGACATCCTCTGTCCCACCCCCTCTTCCAAAGTCTTGTAAACACTATCCCCACAGGTTATCTGAAACTTGTCCGGATGTGCCTCTGGGCTCCTCTCAGACAGGCGGACAATCTTTCTCCTGGGAATTCTCTAGAGCCTGCCAGTAGTCCAGGAGAGCCTGGGGCTTGACGAAGTGGCAGGCCACGATCCTCCTGAAGCGGCACACAGAGAAGTGTAAGCCCTCTGGGAAAAAGGTCTGCTGGGAGTGGAGCTCCTCCAATCTGATGTTCAGCCGTTCGAGGCAGAGCCCTACAAACACGTCTTCCAGTTTAATGTATGGGACGCTGTGGGAGACATTGTACACCTGACTCGCCACGTCGCCGGAAAACACATAGGCAGTGCCAGAGCAGAATGGTGGGTACCTGTCCCACGGATATTCAGATTTGCTGACAAACCACTTATTGAATGGTTGCCTGATGGGAAACTCATTGAGTTTCAAGAAGCCAGTGAAAAACCTGGTTGTTCTGTTTTTCTTCAGAAGCAGTTTGGTCAGATAGTCAACATTGATGAACATGTCTGAGTCTGTTTTCATCACAAATGCTGCCTGAGGACAAAAGCGATGGACCCATTCCATGCCCATCATGGTCTTCAGGGTCAAATTGTAATAGACGTCTAGGAAATCCTTCTGGATAATGTCCTTGTGTCGCTGGCTCTCCTGGTCCACCTCTTTTGTTTCTGCCGCACTGCTGGTGGTCCCCAGAAGGAAGAACGTCTTCAGCTGCTTTCCCTTCACCATTCTCTCTTTCCCCCACGTCTGCCGGATGGCCATGCGCTCAGCCAACTGTTTGTGGGATGAGGTCACTAGCAGGACAAGGAAGGGGGGTGTCTGACTGCAGTTTGTATCTGGGAGCTTAAGGAAGTGCCCGTCCTCTTTCTTGTAAGGAAAGGACTGTTCTTTGAAAGGATTCAGATTGTACATGCTAAAGTACCAACAAAGAGCCCCCAGAACCAGAAGGCAAATATACATCAATCTCATCTTCAGGCAAGCCATCTGAAAGGAACAAAATCCAATGATTAGACCTCAAAAGCATGAGGATGTGTCTAGTTTCATGCTAGAAGGCTGAGGTGGGAGAGGAGACCCGTGTTTTGGAAACTCTAGAACCTCGCTGAATACAGAAGTCGGGTGCTGCATGGTTAAACAGTAAAGCACAGAGGTCTGACGTCTGCCAGCATCTGTCACTTCATGGTGTAAGATAAAAAGCTCAGAGATTCTGGGCATTGGTCCCGGCTCTGCAGCCCTAAACCTATGGGAGTCACCGATTGCCTGTCTGTAGGGATATGGGACCAGGCCCCTCACTCACTCCCCCCCCAGCTCTGCCGTTCTCTGACTCCATGATGAAGCGCAGCAAAACAAGCTGCGGGTCTGGAAACCACGCTTGCATTCTTCTCTGATCTAATTAAGCAGCATTCCTGCTCCCCAAAAAAAGCAAGTCCAGTGTGCTGATGTGCACAAGTACCTTCAAATTCCGTTTCTGCCAGAAGTATTATTATTTTTTTTTACGTTACTTTTTACAGTCTCTGATCTGATTCTCTCCTCTTCTGCCCACCCGTCTCTGCTATCCTCGGCAAGTTCAGGATCATCCGTGGTAATGTTATAACATTAAGAAAGCGTATAACTCACTTTTTGCTGGGTAAGAGGACCCTCCGGTTTGAAAGCTAAAGCCACAGTGTAAATGCCAGGAGGAAATTTGTTTCAAAGAACTGTCAGTGTAGAGTGCTTCACAATTATCAGGTTCTGGGCTTGGTTTGTTTACCAAAAATGATGATTCTGTCAGGAATCACTAGGAACAAAAAAAAAAAAAAAAGAGTGTCGTTCAAATCAATCGCGCCTTACCAGCAGTCCTTCACAATTTGCCGTGTCTGTAGTGTCACCTTCCAACCTACTTATGTGACTCTGAGCACGCATTTGAGCCCCCATCCCAGCCTCACTTTTCTCATGGGTATGATCAAGGCAAACAAAGTCCACAACAGTAACAATATGCCAATCCCCTAGAATCCTTCAAGCCTAGAAAGTTAAGAGAGGACCTAGCAGCTTTTTTTTTTCTTTTATTTTTTTATTTATTTATTTTTTTTGAGACGGAGTCTCGCTCTGTCGCCCAGGCTGGAGTGCAGGGGCACGATCTCGGCTCACTGCAAGCTCCGCCTCCCGGGTTTACGCCATTCTCCTGCCTCAGCCTCCCGAGTAGCTGGGACTACAGGCGCCCGCCACCTCGCCCGGCTAGTTTTTTTGTATTTTTAGTAGAGACGGGGTTTCACCGTGTTAGCCAGGATGGTCTCGATCTCCTGACCTTGTGATCCGCCCGTCTCGGCCTCCCAAAGTGCTGGGATTACAGGCTTGAGCCACCGCGCCCGGCCACCCTAGCAGCTTTTTAAAGAGACACGGTAAACTCATAAATTAGAGTCTCACTTCTCATCCTGATAATTTACCTTATTTACATAACAGAGTCTGTAGGTAATGCTGAGAGAATTTAACACAGATAATAAATCCATTTCTTAACACAATAGCGGCACTTTTAAAATGTCATCCTGGGTGAGAGGACAGAAAGGACAGCAAGAGATGAAAGTGAAAGAGTGAAAAGCGGAGTTGGTTTGGGCTTTTAAATTTTATTTCAGAGACCAGATGTCACTCTGTCTCCCAGGCTGGAGCACAGTAGCACAATCATAGCTCACTACAGCCTTGAACTCCTGGGCTCAAGCAATCCTCCTGCCTCAGCCTCCCAAGTAGCTGTGCCCACAGGCGCATGCCACCACACTCTTCTAATTTTGTATTTTTTGTAGACATGGGGTCTCACTATGTTGCCCAGGCTAGTCTCAAACTCCTGGGCTCACGCAGTCCCCTGCCTCGGCCTCCCAAAGCACTGGGATTACAAGGGCAAGCCACTGTGCCCAGCCAAGAGCTGGTGATTTTGATTTCAAAATTTCACTGTCAAAATTCTGTTCTAAATATATTCACCAAAAGCAATATGAAATAACAATGGAGCTTTCTAGAACCAGCTCGCTCTCCAGAGACTTCTTTACTGGAGGCAAACTACCTGCTCTGCTTGGCACCCCTGGGGAGTTCCTGGTCAGTTCCTGTCCCCAGAAACTTCAGAGAAATCACAGCAGAAGGCAAGGAGGAGACCAGAACTTGTCTGAACTGGTGCTCCAGGTCGCTGCAAAGTTTCTTTCATTTCTTTCTTTCCTTCCTTCTTTCCTTCCTTTCTTTACTTTTCTTTCTCTTTCTTTCTTTCCTTCTCTTTCCTTCTCTTTCTCTCTTTCTTTCTTTTCTTTCTTTCTTTCTTTTCTTTCTTTCTCTCTTTCTTTCTTTCTGTCATTATTTATTTGCATGGCTAGGACGTGTAGCTGATCAAGGGGATTGGGGGCCTGCTTTCTCCCTGACAATACATTTTACAGAGAAGCATAAAAACCAAGTGCAAGGGAAAGAAGATATTTTTCTACTTTGTTTCCTTGCTTGAATAATTCTGCTCTTTTTCTATGGGTTGCTTTAACAGTAAACCTTAAATCCTCATTCTCTCTGATGTGCCTTTTCTCAGGACCCTTCACAGGGATCTAAATTCCAGGGATGGGCGCTCACCTCATGCAGTGCATTGGCCAAACTGCTTCCCAGGAGGCAGAGCAGGTGCCAAACCCAACTGGCCAAAGCCCCTAGGGTCGCTTGTTTTCATGGGCAACTGAACATTTTTCCTGCCTAAAGTGGAGTTACCAAGAAACCACCACCAGAAGTCACAGCTCGGAATCCTCATACATGAGGCATCTGCATCTTTGGTTGAGTCTGTATTGTGCCTAAAGAGGACCGGGGGGCCAGCCTTCCACTGGAGGAGTCAGGGGTACCTGCAGCACCAGCAGACAGAGCCTGGAAAGGGCAGCCTGTGCCCCCAGATCCTAGCCACCCCAGGCCAGCTGGAAAGCAGAAGCTCTTTGCACAAACTAGCTCTGCCTTACCTGGGACAGAGCCATGAACAGGCACTATCTGTGCTACAGAAGCCCTACCTCCAAACACATCTAGACCCCCAGGCTATGTGGCCTGACCAGCCAGTCAATAATGGAATGGCAGTTTCTCCAGCAGATTCTGCACTCTAGGTGTATTAGTCAGGGTTCTCCAGAGAGATGGAACCAACAGGTTAGTAGATCAATCAAACGATAGGTAGGTAGGTAGGTAGGCAGGTAGATAGATAGATAGATAGATAGATAGATAGATAGATAGATAGATAGATAGATAGATAGACAGACAGATAGATGAGAAGAAATTTCTTAGGAGAATTGGCTAGCATGATTATGGAGGTTGGGAAATACCGTGAAGGCCGTGCAAGCTGGAGACCCAGGGATGCCAAAAGTGTGGCTCAGTCCAAGTCCAAGAGCCTCAGAACCAGAGATGCCAATGGTGTAACTATCAGTCCAAGGCCAAAGGCCTGAGAACCCAGAAAGCTGCTTGGTATAAATCCTCAGGTCCGAAGGCCAGAGAGCCTGCAGCTCTGATGTCCAAGGGCAGGAGAAGAAGGATGTCCCAGCTCTAGCAAAGAGAGAGGCATTCACATTTCTTCTGCCTGCTTGTTCTATCTGGGCCCAGTGAATGGATGGTGCCTGCCCACATAGAGGGCAGATCCTCCCCAGTCAGCCCACTGACTCATAGCCAATCTCCTCTGCAAACACCTTCACAAACACACCCAGAAATAATGCTTTACCAGTTCTCTAGGTATTTATTAATCCAGCCAAGTTGACACCTAAAAGTAACCATCATACCAGGCTTTGCTCTGTAACTTGTGAGCAATGTAGATGCCAGGAGAGAACCTTGGAACTGAAGGAGATAAATATAGTTCAGAACGTGTAGACCTCCCTTCGCTGCCTCTGCCTGCTGCAGGCTCCTCTGAGTACATCCCATCTGCTGGCTCCTGCCCCCGCGCCTAGGTCACCGCCCCACTTCTGGCCATAGTGCCTGGAGGACAAAGGTTATGTCTTATACCCCTCCTGAAACCCCAGAGAGCTGTGCATAAGCTGGTTGCTGGGTACATTTTGAATTAAAGCGGAACAAGTAAGTAACACACAAAGCTAGAGCCGTCAGGACAGGGAAAGGCTCTCTAAGGGGAAATCTGGGTAACCGCATCCTACCCGCGCAGGCACGCACAGCATCCTGGGACTCTCGCCAGGCCAGGTGAGGAGACCTTGCCTTAAGCCTGACCTGAGGCTACAGGGCACAGAGACAAAGGAATCAGGAGTCCACCTCTCTAAGGACTGGAACACTGAAGGGAGGGTCTGGAAAGTTAAGTTCAAGATGCACCTCCTGGATCTGAAAGGAGAGATCTGGAGTGAAGGGACAATGGCCGAGCCCCACTATGAGACCAGAAAGAGTATGCGAGGACAAAGCACTCAACTCAAGGGGTCTCCAGGGGCTGCGGCCCTCGGTGGAGAGGGAGCTAGTGAGCATCCTGAGCCCTGCGAAGGGCACAGCACCTGCACTGTTCCTTGAAGGGGAGGTGCGATGTAACCGGTGGAACCAAGGGATGGGAATTCCAGACCAAGGAAACCCAGGGAGGGTGCTGGCAGTCCTGAGTGCTAGGGTCCACTTTCAGGCCACTCGCTCCAGATCACTGTCTTGTATCCTTGGAGACTCTCACCACTGCACGGGCCTTGCGAGAACAGAACAGCATCACCAAGAATGCAGAAGGAACAACATCAATGTCCCTGCTGTCTGAACAACCCCACGGTTCTCAAATCCAGTGAGTGTCAGCCCGGGAGGCGTGTTTAAAACCCAGGCTGAAAGGTTCCGTCTCACAGAGATTCTGATAAAGCAGGTCTGGCGCCCAGGAATCTGTATTTTAACATGTGGTCACTCCACTCTAGGCTGGCCTGGTGAACAATGCCAGTGGAAACTGCCTGTACAGAGCCGACCAGTAACAGGCACCATGTTATAAACAAGAAGACCCCAGACCACCGTGCCCACCTTAATGTGTCGGTGGATTCGCTGTAGAGACTGAAAATATCCCTTCCCCTGGGGAAGGTGGAAAAGAGCATGACAGGGGTGGACAAGAACGATGCTTCTCCGTCGGAAACTGGGATAGGGTGAACTCCCGCGTCACACATGGCCCGCAGCCTCCCAGCAGCTGACCCCAGACTGACCCCAGCCTGGCTGGGCCTTTGGAGGCCTGGCCTTTCTCAGAGGAAAGACATTTTAGGAGGCAAATTTTCCATGAGACTAGTGGAGCTAAGCTGCAGGACGACTCACCCCCACTGTTTTCTTTTTCTTAAAGAGGAATGCCCCCGGCCGGGCGCGGTGGCTCAAGCCTGTAATCCCAGCACTTTGGGAGGCCGAGACGGGCGGATCACGAGGTCAGGAGATCGAGACCATCCTGGCTAACACGGTGAAACCCCGTCTCTACTAAAAAAATACAAAAAACTAGCTGGGCGAAGTGGCGGGCGCCTGTAGTCCCAGCTACTCGGGAGGCTGAGGCAGGAGAATGGCTAAACCCGGGAGGCGGAGCTTGCAGTGAGCTGAGATCTGGCCACTGCACTCCAGCCTGGGCGACAGAGTGAGACTCCGTCTCAAAAAAAAAAAAAAAAGAGGAATGCCCCCCACCCCAATTGTATAAGCTTCAGACCCCGTAAGACCTAGGCCTACCCCGGCCTCAAGCAGAGAGAATCTCCCAAGTGAGCTGAAGTGAGCAACCAGGGTGACCCTCTAAGTAATTAAGAAGTCACAGGGCGGAGGGAGATTCTCAGAAACTGCCCAGGCCCACACGGTCCTCCCAGCATCCAGCTCCCTGCCCACTGGAGGACGACTGAGCGT